AAATGGTAGATTTCACAGTATAATTTTGATATTCAGACAGTCTAGGATGATTGATTTGTATGATTCACTTTTTGAAGTACACATAACTCTCGGATTTAAATCCGAAGTTTCCGCATTTATTGTTTTTCGAGAAGACCTTAAACATATATAAAATGCATATTAATATAGCAGAATATCGATGTATTTATATTATGTCTCATGTATTCTATGGTAGGTTTTGGATCGACTGCTTGTGACCCTATTCGGAGTGCTGGTGTTCATTACGATTGCGGATGTGTAATATCTGAAACAGGAGCATTAGTACCTTTTTCTACAGGAAGTGCACTTAGTGTTCCAGCTGTTTACATTGCTTATTTCGCTACTTTCGGTGCTATGGTAAGTTTAGACAAGGATTATGTTCGTTTGATGTATCGAATCTTTGTCTTTCGATTTTCTAGGCTTGGCATTTATTATTATTTGATTCATCTGTACAAAATCTCTATCATCCTATTCTTGCTAAACATGCGATCGATTCTACAGCAGTAACAGAACATATGGCTGGTGGTAGTGTCCGAGCAAAAGTGTGTCATTTTGTTCGTGCACGATTGTTATCAACATATCATTTTCTCTCAATGCAATCCAATCAAGACGATGCGTGTCTTTTATTTAGTCGTTGTTTTGAATTGTTTGCTCAATTTAGTCGTCAACGAGATGAAAATTCATGGATTAAACCTATTTATAAGACAATCGATGAGAAACTTGAAGCTGAAAAACAATTTCAAAGTAAAATTTTCTATCCAACACATAAAAAATTAGTCGATTATAAAGAAATAATAAATATTATACAATCACAATCTCCACTACAAACTAAATTACATGAACATACAACTCAAATGCCTATTCTAATTGAATTTATTCATTTTAAGACTGAATTATGTAATCCAGAATCGATTCAATTACCTTTGACAATTTTACGACGTTTACTTGATTCATTCGATTTTCTGAAAATAACTCGATATATTTATGCTTTAAGTCAATTTCATATTTTATTACATCGAACTTTTACTCAATTAATCGAACGAGAAGAATTTCTTACAATTACATTGAAACAATTGTATGAACGAGCTCAACCAATTTCAAATAGTTTTCATCAAAGAAATCAAGAAAATAAATATTATACAATTATTGAAAATGGAATCGAAGCTGTTAATGGTTATCATAAATTTGCTGATGGACAAATTCGACCAGGTGCATGTGATGCTACTCAACTTTTTCAAACCATTTCTATGGAAACACCAATAAGCTATCTCGTTGAAACAGACAACTATGATGAAGGAGATATTATTATGCGTATATTGAGGTAAGTCTCAAGAGATCGATCGACTTCTCTAAGAGAAACAACCCGGATTTTTTTATGATCAGATAGTTCTATTGACGATTGATGAACAGATAAAATCAAAATGAAAACGTAATAGTAATTGAAAGTAGAAAGATTGTAGAATTATATGAATTTGCACCTAATTTGATTTGTCTACAAATCCGATAGTCAGAATCGTGGTAACACTGATGGATATCAGTGATACAATGTCTAATGTATATATAGTTCGTTTTTCTTCATTTTAGTGTTCTTGTCGATTATCATAATAATCTTCTCGAATTACTTGACATGGAAATTAGACAAAATGGTGATACTCTTGGTTTAGGTTCATTGAAAGATATTATCTGTGAATTATCAAAAAGAGAAATATCAATTCTACAGATAGTTCAAGAAAATATGGGTGTAATTACATTGAACAAGATGGATTGTCATTGGATTGAAGAATTATCTCGAGCTAGTCTCGAAAATGAAAAAGATTATTTTCTCAAACTTAATACACCATTAAAATTTAATTTTCTTTATGTTCAATCATATCTAATTCGAACATATCTTCTCTATTGTCGTATTAATTATCAACATATCAAAGGAAAATATCAATGTTATACTAAACAAAAAATTCTAATAACTACAAATAATCATAAAATTGATAATGATATCGATATAGATTCTAATATTCTATTGATCGATGAATGGAATCATTTAGAACAAAAGAATCTAGATCAACTTCAAAATGAATTTAATTTTCTTCAACGAATAATGGATATATTAAAACATTCTTCGGAAGATTATTCATCAATGAAACTTTCAGAGTTTATTCGAAATACTAATTATGATGATCGATTTGCTCAACAATTTCAACAATATAGAATCAAAGATTTTTCTTTATCACAAATCAAATCTATTTGTCAATTGTATGAACAATCAATTAATCATTTTCAACATACATTTATCAATGTATCTCATTTAATTCGTGTACCTCTAGATAAGAAACTCAATAATGAACTCGATCATATATTAAAATCTTCGTTTATTTCTTCTAATGATCATACTAAAAAAGAAGAATTTCAAGTTGCAATACGAACGATAACAAAATTTTTAAATGTTTTAAAAGATAGAGAAGATTTTCTTGCTAGTCAATGGGCTCAATCATTTACAGAAACATGTAAATATTTATGTATTGAAAATCTTATTGTAAAATTAATACCTAAAGAAATCAAATGTGAAAATTATGTACCATTATGTCTAAAACTCATTGATATACGATCTCAATTACAAGAACGAACATTTGATATTGAAGAAAAAACTATTCATCTCTGGAGTGCTCGTTTTGATATTTCAAATATAAGTCAATCGAATGAAAATAGTTTTCAAATATTCCGAAATAAGAACGATGATTTTCTACTTGTCGAGTCGAAATTGATTTCTTCATTAGATGATTTCTCATCACCTTCTTTTCCACAACCAACTGATATTACTGGAGATTTAATCGATTGGTCGGACATGTTCGATAATGTAATTATTCCAACAGAACCACTGAAATCTGAACATTTTCTGTCACAAACAATCAATTATACATCTCTATCCAAGTTAAAATTAACATTGATTTCATTATCACCATCAGCTCTATTTGAAAATAGTCGAAAACAAGCAGAACAATTGGCAACCAAAGTGTCCAACATACGTTTAGTTATCACATGTCTAGATGGTAAACAAGAAAAGTATTACTGTAAACCTGAAAAACTCTATATACAATTGAAGAAACTCTTTGACAAAAAAAAATATGATTTGAATACAATTGGTCTTATTGATCCGAATCAATTATTGATTGATTTTATGAAAACAAATATAAACAATTCATTACTTATTATAGATACAGAATATTATGTTATAGAAAAAAAATTATTATTTCCAATCGTATTAGAATTTGAAAATAATCAATGGGAATATTTTGCCACGGCAGAAGCTACAATAACTTCGCTTTTGAGTCGTTTTATTCTTGATCAACAATTGAAATTTACATCACCGGAAAATTATTTTAGTGTATTTGATTCTCTTGGACGATATATTGCTGTCGATTATCAACTAAATAATATTTATCGATCGAACGAGCAAAATCCAATTCACATTCGAATTCTTCGATGCAGTCAGAATACTAATATTTGCTGTGAAATAACTCTTACGACAGGTCAAGGTACTTTTTTTTTTTATTTAGATCATCAGTTGAAATTTTCATGCTTTTTTTGTATATTTTCTTTCAGAGGAAACACACTGTCAATACTTTAATCCGGCTACAACTTGGAAACAAATTAGTTTATGGTCGAAAATTCTTGGCATCAAGACAGAAATTCCAGTTGATAATTATTATTTCTGGAATACAGAACAACAACATATTATTAATGAAGATGAGACAATATCATTTACACTAAGTCAAGCTGAATCTATCAATGTTGATGTACTCAATGAAGAAAGTGTCATGGATGTAATGCTTTCCTATGATAAGAATATTCAAACGATTCGTATTCTTAATTCCTGTCCAGTTTATAGTCTTCTAAGCAATCCAGATTATCTTAAACAATTAAATCTAAAAATATCTCCCCAAGAATGTACTTTAGTATTCGTATCAAACGAATCAGAAAAACAAATTCTCAAGGATTTGGATATGGAAAATCCCATTAGTCATTATGCATCAATGACTGATAAATCGGTTCATTTTCAAATATCTATTCTTATTCAAATCATTCAATATGATAATCAAAAAGAAATACCAATTCCTATCTCTCATCGAAACATAACAATAAAAGAATTATTAGGAATAATTGAAATCAATAATGATCATACATATTTAGCATCGTATGAAACTAAAATAATCTTATCTGAGAATACAAAATTATCTACGATAAATGAAACGAAATTTTTCCACGTAAAAGAACATCAAACATGTCTCGTATCTATTCAACAATTGGAGGATGTACTAATAACAGTTATTGAAGACAATATTCAAAATCAACGATATCTTATCAATGCTACCATAAATGATATTTACAAACAAAATAAAAATATTGATCAAAATCAATATCTTCTATATGATCGTGACTTTGTTCCATCACGTGGCATGCCATTGAGTTCATTTCTATTCACTAAAACTTCACCCATTCAATTCAATTTAATCTATCAAAAATTACAAGCAAATGTTACAGTGACTAGTGATGAACAAAAAAGTTCAATTGAATTTCAATGTGAATCAACGATGACTATTGGTCGTGTTCATCAAATTGTTTGTCAATTATGGAAATTAAATACGAAATTGTATCGTTTAAGTCTTTCGGATGATTCGATAATTGATGAGGAATATTCATTAGATGATCTACGTGAATTTATCAATGATCTACAATTGAAATTGATTTCAATTACTAATATCAAATGTGAAATTACCTATCAGGATGAAATCCTCATGATTTCAACTACAAGTGAAACACTTCTATCGTCGATTTTGAAAGAAACTTTAGAAAAACTCTTGATTCCATTAGATGACATCGATAGGTTTGAATTGAACTTAATAGATGATCCGGAAAGTCCAACCAATGTTGATCTTGATTTATCCATCGATGATATTCACTTAGATTATTTCACTGAATCCAATATTATACCATTTCAATTACAAAAGAAATAAAACGAAAATAAAAACTATAATAATTTACGGTTGCATAATTTTCAATGATTGTTTTATTGAATTTTTCATAAATAAGGATTGATTTTTTTTTTTATTAAAAAAAATGATTAATCATCTTGAGAAATCTACTTGATACTATTCTTTTTTTATTCTTAAAAAGACTTCGGCAGAGTGTCGAAGTAATGTGGGTAGTGCTTGCTGGGAGCACGATATCCAAATAGAAAACCTTCCAAGACTCTTGGCCTTGTTGTTAGTATGGAGTCTGATATCACGATCAAACTCTATGAAATCTTGGATCATTCAAATTTATTTTATCTCTCGTAAGATTCGAACTCCTTACCTTATTAAATGTAGTCCGGTAATGCCGCTGACGAAAGAAATCGTTACAGATATTGTGAAATCTTTCGAATCCACTTGAAACAACGCTAAGATAAATTTTGATTTCCATTAGTATTATACATTGCGGTTCAATTAGCTTGAATTGAAAAACTATATGGAGTTCTTGAATATGTGCTTCTTTTGCACTAAAATGATGCTTTAAATAGTTGTTTATATCGATCCCAACTTCGTGATTCGAGTGAATTAGGTCATTACATCTTGATTTCATGTCGCAAGAGTTTTTCTCGTAAAAACCACGGTTTTTTTTTTATGACGGAACAAAACCGGGACGCAGAGTTAATTAGAAATTGTGTAATGAAAAAATGCTATTTTATTGAACTGCAGTTCCATCTATCAAAACTGCGATGCCTCATTACGAGTAAGTGCAGTGTCAAAAAGAATAGGTTCATGTGGGTGTGGGTGTAGGTCTGCATCAGAGGGATAAAAGATTCGAAGCCAAAGCCACACTTACAGTCTCATCCACAACCAAACTCAACAAGAACCCACACCCACACATGCAAATAGAGAAAGACAAAATATTGCAAGTTATCTTATACAAGATCTTGGTATCGATTGGCGGTAAGTTTGAATCGTTCTTTTATTAAAAACAAAAAATATTTTTTGTATTTTTCAATGTGTTAGATGTGTAGCAGTATGCTTTGAATCGAATCTTGCAAATTTTGTATTTTTGTGTGTATATATTACTTGTAATAAATTAGTTTCTCTTCTTATTTAGATTGAGCATAATATTTGTTCAAACCATGAAAACTGTTGTATGTAGCTGGTGTTCGTAATAATCAATGAGAAAATCGACATTTTAATATGATCAAACAAGTATTTGTTTATGATTCTAATGTAAGATTATTGTTAATGATTGGATATGCATGAAACTTAACTATTGCATCGATATTTATACATAAATGATGTTCTGAATTAGCTCGATTGCCAAATGAATATATTCAAACATCCTGATTAACTTCATCTCTCAAATTCACAAAGATGCAGATGTAGAGCTTGGTATTAATTATCCTCCGTTCATTATTATTTTACTACAACAGAATCAATAAGTAAAATATTCTATAATTTCAATATATTTACTGATCTTTGTTTCATTTTCTCTTGCTATTGTTCTGAATACTTAAAAAGGAATTCATGAGAAGTATTTCATATATATATATTGTTCGATATTGATCGATTCGTATAAATATAAATGCATTGGACCGTGAAAATTAGCATAAGATCTGGCAAATTGGCAGTGAAATGAATGCTATTTAAAATCAAAGAGTGATAAAAAACGGAGAAAATTCATTTATTTATTTGTTATGATGTCTATTATCAGAGATGTATGTTTATTATCTGAAGCTATAATATTGCATAGATTTTTATCGTTTTTTCAAGATACTTTTTTCGCGAAAATATGACCATTACGATTTACGGTGGGTTGTCAATTGATATAGCAATCATATACTGTACAAGACTCTTGTAGGATTCATTCAACCACTGATTGACTAATAAAAGACGAATAGACTAGGACGATGACAGGCTCATCTCATAAGTTCGAAACAATAGAGTTAATGAACAATTGAAAATATTCTTTTTGAGAGGAACTGATCTTTTTGAAGAATGCTTTTTGAAAAGAATCAATCCATCTTAAATTAACAAAATAAATATTATTTTTTGAGAGCTTCCTTAGGCTAATACTGTAACTTTTTCAGGAGCATCTCAAAGTGGTCTCAATACACTTTCAATAGCTAACAATGAATACTACCTGAGGGAAGTGCTTCGAATTTTTTGAAGCTACTGTCCAATGCTCCCAATAACTTTTTCATCTCAATGGCAGAGGTCAAAAACGTTAGGGTATGGGTGAGTGTAGCTCTGTGTGAAGAGAAGATTTAATATTTATCTGCGCCTACACGCGCAATATTTCATACAATAGTCATATTTACCAATGCTTTTTGCAATACGATAATATCTATTAAAAAATGATGAATGATCTATCTCATGGTGGTACATAGGTATCAATGCTGAGAAATTTCAAAAATTGATTAAATGTTTCTGCATAATTATCCTATTTAGCTTGAGTTTTAGTTACATAATTAAGTGTGATTGATAATTCAAAAAAAATTGAATGTAAAAAGTTTTTCTTTGAAAAAATTATTTCGACTCTTCATTCTCGATAGATGCATGAGAAAAAATTATTGATGAAGAAAAGATAGTTTGACTATTATTGTAGACTTTGAATAGTCAAATATTTTTAATGATTCATTTTCTTCACGAATTTTATTTCCTCGTAGTATGGCTATTAGTATTTCTGACTAATTGGTTAACAAATGACGAACAACATCAAGATTGCCCGTAATTGATGCCCAAAATAATGAATTTGGTGAAGATTCTAACTTCTTCGGGATCTATCATGTAATCAAAAATGTAATGAGTCATGCTTTCCAGTGTTATTTTAAGCTAAGACAAGATAATTGTAAATCATTCATTTTTGGGATTATTTGATGCCATTTATGTAAATACTTATGGATCAAAGTATTCAAATTTCGATCATATTGTTCCATGATGATTAACATATAATTTAACGTAAAGATTGCGTTTTTAATATCAAACTTTCTTTCAATACATAATATCAAGTTGTCTAAGTCTTGATAATCTTGATCGTTCAATGTCAATTAGTTTTTGCCAAACATGAGAAAATTACAAGAATATCGTTTTCAGTGTTAGAAATTAATGAAATCCCGACGATTGAAAGCAGTTTTGGATATTCCAAACCATTACAAAAAAAAGAGGAATGTATTATTTCGAATATTTGCTCATGATATAACATCATTGATTGATAGAAAACTTTGAATGTTCATTGGAGTTTCTACAAATCAAAAAACACATCAACTTTAATCATCATAAAAAGCCCTATAACGTCATCGTATTCACTTCGATTATGTTCATACTATGTTGCCTGCTGAACAAGTCAACTTTATCATAAAAAGAAAAATCCTATATGAATCATGCATCATTATTCTTTACACTTTATACTACAGACTGATAGTTGTGGGCTCACGTTAGTTTCTACTTCATTATTTGCGACATCCCTTGATCATATACGATTTTGTACATTAAACATTCAACAGTAAAATAAGTCAATAAGATTCTCCATAAGCGCGAACCATTATCATTTCCAACTGATTAGAGAACGACGATTTTGTCATCACTAATCCATAATAATGCATGCTGACTTGAAAAGTTCTTTTACTATGGCAACCATCATTATATCACAACGACCAACTTCAAGAATATCATTAATAGTCTTACACATGTCATCTGATTTTCAACATCTTGGTTGCATTTATCATCTTGATCTCGTACCTTTGTTCGATGAAAAACATAGAACAAATTTCTTATACATAATAAATCGCATGAAAACCACCATGATAGAAAAGATTTTTTCTGTTCAATGTGTCCTACTTTGTCGAATTCAAAAGTTCAAACATGATTCACATTCCAGTTAACATCTTTGAATATATTCACCTGACCAATTCATGATAATTTTCTAACAATGATTGCGTTCTGAGAACCGAAGCAACAAAGAGTCCCACATTGTGAACATAAAGTGTGAATGAAAAATTCCCATAAATCTTCAATCAAACAAAAATTATCATGCTCCTTCACACTGAACACCCATTCGACTTACAAACACAAAGTGTCAACATTTCTCGACATGCCACCGGGGAGCCGACATTATACAAACATTTTCTATTTTCCAGCCACTGAATGCTAAACATTATAAGACATGAAAAGATCAATACTGCACCTAAAACTGGACCACTTTTTCTCATATCTGATAATTCATATGAACATCGCTTTGCCGATCAGAATCGCACGGGACTTCTATTACTACTCCAGATTCTCTAAGCATCATTAACGCATTTCATCAATCACTACACAACTCGTTCTTTTCCCTATCGAGATGTTTATTGTCATCGCTCCAGAAAATAACCAATCAACTCTGTTCAAAGAGAATAAAACTCAAGCATTTCATCCTACAACAAAACAGCTGCCATACAAAACAACACGCTGACCATCATTCGCTCTTCATCTGGCTCATATTCCCATCTACACTTTTCACAAAGACACTCACCATACTAGATCTCTCTTCAAATCAAATCGAAGATCCAGGAGCACAACATCTGGCTGATGCATCGGGAAATTGCACTGGAATTTTATTTTGTGGTGTGTAAGGTAGGATTGAATGTGTTCAGGTTTTCTCTGTGTTCATATGTGGTTTTTGGTTATCGGTAGGATTTAATAATGTAGTTTTTTTCCGTGTATGAATAGGTTTTTGTGACAAGGAAAAGGTTTTGCTGGCAGATTTAGTATCATAGAGAGAACTAGCTGAGATAAAGTTGATTGTTTAGGTGTAAAAGGATGGAATTTTTTTGTACATTGAACGGAGAAAGTGTTCTTATGTGTAAACGGATTCGAGATTGGAACGAGATGTTTTTGAAATTCAAAAATTTCGGTATGTTCTATGGTAGTAAATCGAAAAGTTTTGTGTGTTGATTGAGAAAAAAGAAGGATGTTGGGCCTTGATATGGTCCAAGTTTGCTTTGTTGCATTTGAAA